CCTGTCCGTCTTCCGGGTCTCGCTGCGACCACGGCAACCCCGGGCAGAGCTGCTCCTTATCATTCGACTGCGATTAGCGTTCCGCCGGCTTTCCGGACGAAATTCGTTTCTTTGGCGGGTGGAAACTTACCGGAGCGGGCACGCTCTGCCAGGATTTCCTGCATCGAGACATTTATTTGTCGGAGAACGCGTTTGCTGGTTTCTTTGGTTAGGGGAGTTGATCCCGGTTGCTGTTTTCCGCTGGAAAATCGGATTGGAATGTAACGTCTTCGGCTCGTGCTTCGGATGATTGAGGAATTAGCCTTTGAGAAGCGAGAAAGTGAGGATTACTGACCTTTGAAGAAGTTGGGAGAAGAGGTTTTAAATGAAAGATGTAATTGTATAATAGGAGTTTATAGATTGTAGGAGTTGGAACGTGTACTTGGTAAAATGTTGATTTTTGTTGCTCGCCGAGAATGAGAGAGATTCGAAGGTGGAGAAATATTGTTCGCTTCGGTGGTATTTACCGCGGAAGACAGTAAAAGTTTGGTTACTCAGGAATTTATAAAGGATCGCCGTTTCAGTGAAAGGTGAATAAGCACTCGCGTATTATTTAATCAATGGGGGGTTGCGTAAATGAATATTATTTAATCAATGAAAGGTGGACGCGAAACAATCGCTTCATCGTGGAAGGATGAATCGGTGGACGATCGGTGAACCGTCGGGAAAAATGAACCGGGGAACGTGATTTTTGTCAATCGGTGTCGACATCCACGATTTCACGCGCGTTTGTGAAATTATATTTGCGCAACACTTGCGAAAGTGTCCGTGAACGTTAATATCGTTACTTCTGTGCACACGTTCTCTTCCGGGTGCTTTAAATACGTATCGCTTTCGATCGAGCAACGTTTACTCTTCATTAATGTCCACTCGACATGGCACCTTTTGAAAACTTTATGTCGAACTGACGTTCTAACTGTATCGTTATAATTATTTTATTAGTATTAAACTTTTTACTGTACATACTGATGATAACTGTATCTTTCATGCTGTGTACATTAACCTTGGTTCAAATTTCTCGTCTCTTTGTTCCTTTTGTTTCATCCCTTAACCAGTTAACTGTGGAATTTAGTTGGAAAAACGCAGGACGAATGCACGTAGAGTACATTTTAATGAAAGAACGAAGCGAAACAAAGAAGAATTACATGTTTATGTGGAAAAATAAAGAATTCATCGCTGAAAAAATTAGTATCATGTCAAGCTTTACGATGACGTATATACTCGTCAAATACGGTTAACTATTTCAGTATGTCCTATATAAAAAGGTACAAAAATCTGGATTGAAGAAGCTTTTATGTTTTACTTGGTAAGACCTTTTCAATGTATGATTAATTAATGATCTAACGTATTTCTTATCGTCACCTGTTGTCTACAAAAAGCGTAGAGCACGTACGCGTGAAATATATTTGCTCGACATTGTGAAAGAGAACAGAAACGACAACAGACTTTCGATGATTTGAATAAATATGCAATTTCACTTTTCTCTTTCATCAAACGATTGCTTTTTGAACGTCGCCCCGTGACTAATGCACGAGAAAGCAGAACAATTCGGATTCATGTTTGATGCATCATAGCGCGTGGGTCTACTCGAAGAGAAACGAAACCACGCGACACGTGATATACAACAATTAAACCAAGAATTCTGTACGCTTATAGTTAATATTAAATTTTAACTTTCTCAGTCTGAACACTTTTTTAAATTTTCAATTTAAATATTAGATATCGACGAAGTATATGAAGTGTAAGTAATTATAAAATATTTCATTGGAGTATAAGTAATTGTAAAATATTTATAAAATTTGTGATAAAATTTAGGATACCGTGTGGCACGATAAAAAATTAGGACAACAGCGTCTAATTGGAAGGACCTGTACATCCTGCAATGAAGAGTAATGTCAAAGGTCGACTGTCTGAATTCCTTTTACGTTAGGATACACACAACAATGTATTGTTAAAGGTCATAGAACTCCTCCTTCCATCACTGTCATACGCACACAACTAAAGCTTATATTTTACGATCACCGTACAAGGAAATAACACAAATCAGAATGTGGAATATCGTAAAAGAAAATAAATATACATTGGAAAACTGTTTCATACTTAATTGTCGGTGAATTAGAATTTTTATGTTTGCATGTGAGTTCTTCAAATATGAAATTTCAAATTTAATGTTATCTTCAGTAATAGATTTCTTTTTATTTTTCTATTAGAATCGAATTAGTTTAATTTTTAATATAAAATAAGTTAAATTAAACAAATTTACTGATTGAACAATCTTATGTAGTTTACTAACTGAATGTTTCATTTGGGTAGAGGTCGCTAGTGTAATAAGGTATTTTTATCAGTGTCGGTACTACAGTCTGTGATTATGATAAAAAAGTACTATTAACAATAAAACTGTATAGATTATTTGTTAGTATTTCCTGCGCCTATATTATTGATTTATAATTCTTATTTGTTGGATTTCAAATTAGGATTTGATTTTTAATTAAATTGACAGCAGAATTAGCTGGTTTTGCCATCTAGCAGGAATAATATGGTATTAATTAGAAGATGGAATTGGCACTTCATAGATAGCGTCTGTGATTGTTGACATCAGAGCCAACAATGTCACAATATAAATAATTTTATATGGCATAGGAAAGCGTACAAATAATATCGGATACATTCAGTAAAATGGAAGTTCTTGAATTAAAAGATGTAAAAGCTGTACCTGACATAATTCATTCGTATCCGGACAGAGTAAAATCTGAAGGAACACCACTTGTTATTGACAATGGTAAGGTTCACTGACAGGTAATACAGCACATGTCTTATATAATGAAAGTTAAGAAATAATTTGTACTAGGATCATACAACTGTAGAGTAGGATGGGCTACTGAAAAAGAACCCCAGTTGATATTTAAGAATTTAATTGCGAAGCCAAGAAAGGAACGTGGAAAGAAGGATGGAGAACCTCAAGTTGGAAATGACATAGCAAACATTGAAGCTGTACGTTTCCAATTGAAAACACAATTTGACAGGAATGTGGTAACCCACTTTGAAGCTCAGGAACAAATATTCGATTATACTTTTGCTCACATGGGAATAGACACAGAAGGCGCTATTAATCATCCAATTATTTTAACTGAAACTTTTCTAAATCCTAATTATTCTAGAAATTGTAAGGCAACATGTATCTATTAAACTTAATTAAACTAGATCTTAGTATATTAATTACGTAAATTTCAGTGATGGCAGAACTTTTATTCGAGTGTTACAATGTACCAGCAATAGCATATGGAGTTGATTGTCTGTTTTCTTATCAGCATAATAATTGTCCACCAGATGGTTTAATTATTAGTATTGGTTATCACACTACACATATAATACCAATACTAGATGGTAAAGCAGATCCTATAAATGCAAGGAGGATCAATGTTGGTGGATATCATATTACGTCTTATATGCACAGACTGCTCCAATTAAAATATCCAGTACATGTAAATGCTATAACACCAAGTAGAGCAGAGGTAGGCAAATCATGTGTTTCTTGTGAATTATTGCTTTTAACTGTGACAGATTTACCTTCTTAATTTGTAGGAGTTAATTCATGAACATTCTATGATAGCTTTAAATTATCAAGATGAAATTTCTAAGTGGGCAGATCCAGATCATTATGACTCAAATGTGTTGAGGGTACAATTACCTTATGTTGCTCCTGCAAATGCTCCTGGTTTAACAGTTGAGCAGCAAAAAGAAAGAAAACGTGAATTAGCTAGAAGATTAATGGAGATCAATGCACGTAAAAGGGAAGAAAGGGTTAGTAATTTCTGTTATCTAGAATAAGATTTTTACTAAAAAAAGAGAGATTAATATTCTAAGTGATGTTTATAGCTAGCAGAAGATGAAGAGCAGTTAAATCAGTTATTAGCTGTTCAAGATTTATTAGAAGAAGGAGATACTGATGAATTTGATCAGGCTTTAAAAACTTATTCACTTGCCAATGAGACGGACTTGAAAAAAATGATTCAGAATTTGCAAGCGAAGGTAGAAAGAACAAGACAGAAAATAGTAGCAGCTAATTCACAGGAAGAAAATATTGTAATGGAGGAGCAAAAGCCAAAAATAAAAACTAGTCTACAACCTAAAGATCAACAAGATTTCGACGAATGGATTGCTGGCGTTAGGAAAAAACGGTAATGAAACCTTATTAATATTTTTCATGGCTGTATTGCAATCATATTTACTCTTTCAGGCAAGAAATATTAGAAAAACGAATGGCTAAAAGACAACGTAGACAAGACATGGCAAAACGTAGAACAGCTGCAGCTCAGGAAAGAATGCGCATAATAAGTCAACTGGCGAGGAAGGAGAAACGCGATGATGATTTTGGTATGAGGGACGAAGATTGGGACGTCTACAAAGTCATAAATCGGGTTAGTGAACAACATTTTGAAATTCATAAATTTGAAATTGAACCTCGTAATGGATTGACATAATATTATACAGGAAGGTGGAGATTCAGATTCAGAGTTAGAACAAGAAAAGCTATTAGAATTAGAAGATGTCTTACGACATCATGATCCAGAATTTGATGGAGCCGGATCCAATGTTCCTATGGTACCTGGAGAAACTCACCAGTTACATGTAGGCGTAGAACGTTTAAGAGCCCCAGAAATATTATTCCAACCGTCTATGATAGGCTCAATGGAAGCGGGTATTGCTGAGACCATTGAATTTGTTTTAAAATTATACCCACCTGAACAACAGTTACGACTCGTCGGAAACATATTCCTTACCGGTGGACCAACAAGATTTCCGGGTTTGCTAGAAAGATTGAACCGTGAGCTCCGCGAAATTAGACCGTTCGGTTCTAATTTTCAAATAAACATCGCAAAGAACAGCAGCATAGACGCATGGTACGGTGCAAGAGACTTTGGCCTGAATGGAAATCTCCCTGAGTTCCTAGTGACCAAAAAGGAGTATGAAGAAAAAGGTGGTGAATATTTCAAGGAACATTTAACAAGTAATACTTACACCAGATCACCTGATCCATTACCTGTGATACAAGTTCCTGTGACATCGGAGCAAATCATTGTGGAAGATGCAGTTGTTGATGTCGAAATGGAATAAGGATTTTGTATACAATGAACCAATTATAAAATAAATTTTAATACAAATTGATGAACGTTCTTCGTAATTGATGCAATGTTTACATAAACACAGGACTGGAGAAATAAAAGGACCACTTGTTTTAATGGATATCTACTTTATTACACAAGTGTTTCCGTTTGTTCATTCAGTTACGAACAAACTACATTGTAGTCTGTTTGCTGATCACAATACATAGTCCCCAATCGTCGCGTTTCGCCATTCGAAGATAATATGCGGGTACATTTCCATTTTCTTTCTTTTTTTCTTTTTTAAACTTTTCCACATTTGTCGAGAACAATCGACATTTCGTTTTCGTCGGAGCTCCTCGAGCAAGCTAAAAAACTGAGAAAGTGATCCCTCACCTGAGCGGTAGAATTCACTACAGCGACCTCGAGTAATGCTCCCACTTCGGTCCATGGCTTAAGTTAACATCACAATACAGTAATATACTGAAAGATATTACGAAGGAGCCCTACAGGCAATCATTACAGCTAATAGAAATGATCTTCGCTTGTCTCGCCTATTAAAGGAACATACCGTACGGAAACTTCGAGCCGTTTTACATGACGCAGCATGTAAGAAAGAAATAATGGATTAGTATTTAAGA